CGCTGTTTGAAAAATAAGAGATTTGCCCGAGCCAGTAGGAAGAATAACAAGGACTTCTTTTCAAGAACAATCTCTTTAAGAGCCTTTTGCTGTATTTCTCTAAATTCGTCCAAGCTAAACGACTTCAGAGCGTTCAAACGAGAATCTCAAACGACGAATTGTCCTCCATTTTGTTACACTGCGACGACGGCTGCCTGCTAATTTATTAATGATATGCCCCTGAAAATATCGGGGGCCACTCGCTGATTGGTTGAGACTGACAATAGCGAACCCCATGCGCCCAGCCGTCAGGGGAGAGAGTATCGCGGGCGCACGAAATCCTGACGGCTGGAGACTGAGCCTACGTTGAACTGTAGACAATTTTATCGATATCAGATTTAGGAAGCTTCACATCAGATGGTATCTGAACAACGTCTTTGGTTTCTCGGTCAATATGATCAAATTTCTACTAGGTGACTCCTTTAGATTAAACGACATCAAAGCTCAATAAATCACCTTGTTATTTTTGAATAACCTAACTTGCTGTTAGCCTCCCCCACAGGCAACTCCTAGTTTTATCCCTAATTCTGTCTTTTTCTCTCCTTTGGGCTTCCTTTGGTGACCAAAGGAACGCGAGGGGACTAGGGCCGAGAGAAAGAAGACAGTCTTTCTGAAGTTCAAAGACAACAGCGAAGAAAGACAATTCGAAATGCAGTCAAAATGGTTATATATTCGTTGCTACTTTACTCTCTCTGTTTCATTTCAAACTCAATTAGCGCATTCTGCCGAGCGTTGTCCTGTATGGATCGCCGACATGGACACTCACAAAAGCACTTACAAAAGGGCTGGATGGTGCATTCACCAAGATGTTGAGAGTCGTTAAAAGTGTGTCTTGGCGACAACACATGACAAACGAGGAAATAAATATGGTGGTGTCCCGAAAATAACTGTTTTTACCAGAGAACAGAGGATAAAGTTCAATGGTCATTGCTGGAGGAGCAAATAAGAAGCTATTCATAAAGTTCGTGTAGGGAACCACTCCATTACAAAAGACCAAAGTGCAGACCAGCACGCACCTACATAGACCAACTGACATAAGGTACTATGGGTGTTCTTAAAGTGCAATGACACCTTTTAGAAAAACACTTTTATCCAAAAATTTACACGCTGTCAACTACTTCTGCGAAAAAAGAAATAGATTTTGAATTGTATTTTCTGAGTTATAGACATTTGAAAATTGAAAATGCAAATGAAGTGACGTCAACTAAGGAATTGATCCAGTCTTTTTACATTGTTTGCGCTATGCTGTTCTTGGTTGAAGAGCACAAATCATCAATCATAGTAATAATTGAGAGCTGAAAATGCTTTTTCCAATGTAACAAAAAGAATAACGTTCTCTTTCATGATTTTGTATATTAAATCATTCCTTAGTAGACGTCACTTCATTTGCATTTTCTAAGTTTTAATTGCCCATAACTTAGAAAATACAATTTGAAATCAATTTCTTTCTTCACAGATGAACTTAGCAGTATTTTCTCTTTTGGATGAGAGTCAATTTCTAATGGTGTCATGTGCACTTTAAGGATCACTTGGCAACAGCAATGGAAGATTAAAGACATTGGAGAGATTTTGACATTGGAATCCGACCGCGGTCGGTCCGATGATGATGATAATGATTCGGTTAGAAGAAGAAGAAAAGGAAATCTGTTATTATCAAAAATATTTAAAAGCAAGGAGAAGATCTAGATTTTTAGCAAAAGGCGAGAAGAAGAAGAACAATGTAAAAATACTGAGAAGAAGAAGAAGACGACGAGGCCTGTCAGCAACTTTCTCTTTACTTATGACGGTAATAATTTATGTTTAAATTGTCGAAAGACTTCACCTTCCAGGAGCTTTCTCTTAAAAGATTTCTGTAATAAGATGTTTTTCAATAGCTTTTTAAATTTTATTATATTCTATACAAGGTGCTGCGACAACGAAAAATCAAGTTGAATGACATGATCACCTGCCAAAAACTTTCTTTTTATCGATGCCTGCTATCACATCTATTTTGGTGATGCGGTATTCTCGATTTTATAATAATCTGCCACTGTGACAACTAATTATCGAGTTTATTTACACATTGACAGTTTTTCATAAAAAAATCTCCAGGTAAGCATTTTTAAACGCTTTGAAAAGTAGACATGATTGAAATAGGAGATCGTCTTTGTAGATGTGCATTTAAGAATAAACAAATGATGAGGGGATTATTGAGGAACATTCACAACTTCCACATAGTAATGCTCTACGTATGACATAAATCGAAGCAAAGTTATATCTTATAAAAACTACTAAGATCATTCTATTTGTACGAAAGCATTCCCCGACATTTGAGATAAGCACGATTCAAACTAATCAAAGAAGAGAGGACGAAGAAGTGAGGACGAAGAAGAGAGGACGAAGAAGAGAGGACGAAGAGGCGCCATAGAAAACAGTTGTGAAGGTACTATATCAACAACAAAATAAATCTGGCAACCAATTGCAAGAAAGCGACTAATATGAATGGAACTAACTTCTACCGATTCCACAGTTTCTGCAAGGATGCTGAGTCAGATATTGTGAAAACTGTGAAACTGATGACATGTTTGGTTGTTGGTGGATTTGGTATTTTTGGCAACGTTTTTGTCATCGTGCTGGCTGTAAAGTACACTGTAACAAAACGTCTTCACTTTCTGATCATCAACATGGCCGTTGCATCTATTATTTTTATGGTTTTCCATGTTCAACGTTATGTGACTGAAATTTTTTTTGCATATAATTTATGGAAAAACATTGATAGAACCCTTGGCGAAGTTGTTTGCAAAACTTTGTCATTTTTGTATTACGTATTTGGTTCGGAATCTGTTGTTACCTTCTTGGTCATCAGCATTGAAAGATATAAAAGCACCACTAGATTCGTTTTAACATCTAGACAGCTGTCTTTTAAGCGACGTGTGATAGCGATTGTTTGTTGTTGGTTGGTCCCTATGATTATGAACACAGATACCCCAATTTTTGATCATATTGGAATAATGGATTCGGAGATGATTTGTATAAGAAGCTATATGCAAGATGGAAATACACTTCAGTGGATCGTATTCTTGGTGCTGTTCACTTTGTACATGATCTACTATGCTATCACGGTTTTTCTAAGTGTCTTAACATTACGAAGGATATCCAAACTGCAAGCCATTGAAGACAGTCTTTCTGAAGTACAAAGACAACAGCGAAGAAAGCGAATCAGAAGCTCAGTAAAAATGGTTTTGTACTCGATATTGCTGTACACATGTTGTTTTATTCCTTTTTGTATAGCACATGTTATCGATTGTCAATGTTACAATTGCAGTGATATGCCAACGCTTTTTTTCTTGACCTGGTACGTTCCTCCCCTTGTCAATTCCAGTCTCAGTCCCTGCATCTATTGTTTCTGTCTGTCCGACTTTCGTGAGGCAGCGAGAAGATTGCTTTGTTGTGCCCACRCGCGAATTATAATTTTAAGGGGAAGCTCAGTAGCACCCAGAAGTCTTCACACCGACATGAGGACTAGGTAGACTGCCCAGCACTTAAACTACTCTTTCACTTGAATAAATTTGATAGAATACAACTTGAAACTGTTGAAACTAWTGTAAACTAGTGTGAGCTGCGTCGGTATTTCTAAAGAAACAGTTGTGTTATAAAAAGATAACTTTAATACCGTAAAAAAATAGGTTAAACAGCTTACTGACCTTTTGCACGTTAATCCTTCATCGGATTAAAGAGATGAAACGTCAGTAAGTTGTTTCACCTATGTATTACGGTGTTAAATTTATCTTTTTACACAACTGTTCAGCTAGAATTGCATTAAAGTAATCTTTTATCAGACATCTGTTACCCAAATAGCCATAGAAAATTTATTGATTCTCACAAGAAAATTGGGTGAAATATTATTCAATGATGTAACGGCATATCTAAAGGTAAAATTGTCTAGACGACAGATGGTAAGGTAATGTAAAATTGTATATGAATTTTTTGAAAATATATATATTACGTTTCACAGCTTCCATTAATGTCCAATAACTACTTGCAAATAGTAAATTCAAATCAGTCATTGGTCGCTTTCTATAATTGTTACCGATGTTAGTAAAATTGTATACAAGTTCATCTGTCTCAGTTTCCATAAAAAGTTCAATGAATGCGACTGTTAACAGTGGATACCAAAATGTGCCATTGGTCGCTTTCTGTAATTGTCATCGCTATTAGTAAAATTGTATATTAGTTTTGAGATTATATACAAGTACATCTGTCTCGGCACTGTAGTTTCAAATAATGTTCTATAAATGTAACTGTTAACAGTAGTTCCAAATGTGTCATTGGTCGCTTTTGGTAATTGTTATCGATATATGAAGAAGTTCTCCACTAAGTGGAATGGCATATTGACAGTTTTTAATCAAAAATTGTACAAAGCAGTTGGTCATGTCGAGTTTTGACGTCACACAAGTAAAAGGAGCAATTTATAAACCATAGAATTAGGCACGTTGAGCAAACAAGTTCTTGGTATGAATCCACGATGTGATTCAGTTATCTAACATTGCTAAAATGTTGATATTTTGAGTTCAAAAGCCCAGGTCCATCATAACACAAGCTCCATCGTTACACAAGGAACTTATTTGAAATTAGAAGAACGAAAAAATAAATCGAGCAAGATAAAGACACGTAAGAAGACGAGAAAGGAGAAAGCAAGCCTAAAGGACAGCAATTGAAGAGAAAGCCGAATTCTGATTTTACAATCGGGAAGGCCTACGACAACAGCAGCAGCAGCAGCAACAGCAGCAGAAACAGCAACAACAACAACAACAGCAGAAGAAGCAATAACAGCGACAAAAACAACAGCAGCAACAACAACGACAACAGCAACAACAACAAAAGCAACCGCAGCAGCAACAAGAACAACAACAGCAGCAGCAACAGCATCCACAACGACAAAAGAAAATTCTGAGAGAGTTAATTACATCAAGTCTGCAAACATGAATGACACGGCAAGCTTAAAAAACCAAGTCAACAGTTATTGCACTTACACAGAACCTGAATCAGCCATTGAAAAAACTGTTAAACTTATGTCATGTTTGGTTCTTGGTGGATTTGGTATTTTTGGCAACGTTTTTGTCATCGTGCTGGCTGTAAAGTACACTGCAACAAAGAATCTTCACTTTTTGATCATCAACATGGCTGTCGCTGAAACTCTTTTTATCGCGGCTAGTATATTCCAGTWTATCAATGAYAGATTTCTAACGGTTGGCTTATGGAACAAAATTGACGTAAAAATTGCAACAGTTCTCTGCAAAGTGACATATTCGAACCACATTTTTAATACAGCGTCTCTCGTTACTCTTCTGATCATCAGCATTGAAAGATTCAAAATCACAAGGCAAACTSCTCAAATCCCACGACCATTTACTGGAAAGCGGCGAGCCGCAGTAATAGCTGGTTCATGGTTGATTCCAATGGTAATGGAAATAGATACTTTATTATTTGCTCAAATTGAGCAAACAAAGTCTACAAAGATTTGTATTAGACGTTATACGGACAAAAATTATGGAACGATTTATGTGTTTGGTTATATTGCTTTGGTGTTGGCCTTTTATTTTGCAATAGTCYTGCTGAGTATAACAATATTGCGAAGAATATCCAGACCACAAGCCATTGAAAACAATCTTTCTGAAGTACAAAGACAACAGCGAAAAAAGCGAATCCGAAATGCAGTGAAAATGGTTTTATATTCATTATTGCTTTACACGTGTTGCTATGTTCCATTTGTAATAGGACATGTCATAATATTTTCTATCAATCCATGCGCCGAATATAAGTGGCCAGCGGTGTTCTTCCTAGCTTGGTACATTCTTSCCATTGGAAATTCTTCTCTCAGTCCCGTCATCTATTGYGTCTGTCTGTCCGACTTTCATGAAGCAGCGAAGARAGTGCTTTGTAATGGAAACAATCGGACTAATGTTGAGCGTCGAAACTCCATAGAACCAAGCTCCCGTCGCACTGAAAACACTCAACTGTAGCTAAATATGAAACATCTGGCATAGAAAAGTGTTGAGCGTGAATTATGTTCTCTATAGAGTTCCATATAAATGCCTATTACAAAAATTGAATTTTGTCGCTGAGAACATTTGCCGATTCAGTGCCATGCAGTAGAGCGGATTTCGTATGATTGTGCAAAAGCACGGATCACAACACGGACAAGGCACGGCACGGTCACGGAACCTCGCCTTCTATGATTTCAAATGAAAGTCAAGATTTCCCAATGCATCACGGCTACGGCACGGTACGGACACAGCAGGAACGTAACGTGATTTTTTGCACAGTCATACGAAATCCGCTCTATACACGTCGACGAAATACTGTACACCTTTGTACTAATACGGCCGCCATCTTGAATTTTGAAGAAATTATGGGATGTCCATAGGGCAAAGCATAGATTGTCATATAGAATAGTGGCCGTATTAGTAAAATGTCGGGTTCAAAAGGTTGCCAAGTATGACCGTGTTTTAGAGTAAAAAGTATATTAGCAATGAATAAAATAAACTTTTGTTCAAGTTGTAGTGATATATTGTTTGGTAAAATTTATTGAGTTTTTCAGTACTTTCTGAATTCCCTTTGTAGATGGATCTGATGATATAACTTTCTTTTTCCGAACAGAGAACGTTTATTTAGAATAAACCTATTTTAAAAAGAAATAGACGATCATAGAGCGCTTACGTGGGCTTCCTTTAGATGGGACAATGGTCCGCTGCTGAGCTATACGTATTTCATTTTCACGATAGAGTCTTGTTTGAAATAGTTCAAGACAGAAATAAGTCAATAAGTAATTCACATCTTAATTACATCTTAATTTTTATCTAACTGAGCTAAGTACTACTACAGCTGCTCACAGTGAAGCCGTAGATATCGCGATCAGGCCGCGAGGCCAACTGATGTAAAAAACAATGCATAAAGTAATGACAAAGCGCGGATTGACTTAGTTTGACAACCCCATGGAAACTGAGACTGCAGTCAATCTGCAACGCAGGCGCTATCAATTTGAAGCGTGATATTCACGACAACGATGACGAAGGAGAAAAGTGCACTTGCATTTTTAGACGTGGTCTTCCACAGGAAGCCCAGATAAAAACAAGTTGTCGGATACGGGATTATAAATGACAATGGTCGAACGGAGGGGATTACACACACGAGAAATTGAGCGGAGGCTGTAAAGGTGATGAAAATTGAAAGCAATAGTGATGAAGAACAACAATTTGATCGTAATGACATCTAGCAAATGGATGTTTAACTCCAAAGTCATCTAAATAAAATCTAAAATTTTCAGGAAGAATTATAATGATAAACTTTAGAAAGATGTCGAATTAAATGTTATTGACATCCGGGAACTTTATGTTGAGTATTTATGCACCGAACTTAAAAACACGTAATATGCTTCAAATGAATTTGCTGTTCTTTACAACTGAACAACGTTAATAGGGTTGGCCGTATTTTCAAATACTTCAGACAGGCCTCGCAATATTAAAAACTTTCATAAAGTACAATGCTTGTTTTCTAAAAAATTTTTAAAAGACCTTTGCGGTTTTTTCACACTGAATAGGAAATTGCTCAGATATTTTTTTTTAGATTCAAAGCAAAATTGTAACTATATTGTTTTTTGTTTATTTAGAAAAAAGCCTTAATCCTTCATTTGTTTCATACTTGTTTTTCAAGCACAAAAGTTTTAAAAATAATTACTTTAATTGATTTTGATGGCAAATGTTTCCTGCTAATTCCACTTTTTGGAATTACACTTTTTTTGTTGGTTTTGTTTTTTTTGTTCTAGTTATCTTCCCCTTGAATTTTTGTTGTATTCAAATAGCACAAAGGAGTTAGCGGATGAACAGTAAATCCAACTTCAGTTAATTAAACGCTAGCTGAATGTTTACCAAAACACTTGCCAAAGAATATTGACAATATGGGATGTGCTTGCTCTGCTTCAAGTTTTCCAGGTAGCTTGCATCGTTTCGGTGCATTAAGGAATACRAAGGCAGAAGATTTAACTCCAAGGCAGAAATATATACTCAGAGAAACGTGGAATTCAGTTGTGGAGGCTTACAGACAAGATCTAGGGATTTCAGTTTTTAAACGGTGAGTTTTATAATATAGATCGATAGGTGGACGCAAATTCAAATTACGCATTTTTTAACGATTTTGTATCATTGAAAGATTACTCAAGGATAGAATGTTCGTTTTAATTTCAGATATGCYKGTTTTTAAAAACCGATGCACAATTTTAAAATAAAAAAACGTAATTTGCTTATAACATTTAGTGGAAATGGAAAATTGATAGTTAAATCCCACTGAAACGTACTTTTGAAACCGTTTATTGCAATGTTGAGACGAGATGATCTTGAAGACAACGTTTTCGCTCGGGATTATGTTAACCAGGAGGAGTCGACGGGGTCAGTTCCTTTTAATAACTGTTCTTGTACGAATTTTTTTTCTGGGAAAAGGATTTTCAAGCTAAATTGTTGACAGTCGCACTTTAAGCAAATGTGGTGCCCTTCAAACTTTAAAATAATTTATTCCTGCCAAACAAAAGCAAACGTTTTTATGGTTAAAAAGCCTCAATCTTTTTTTGTAGGAAATTTTTCTGGCAAAAATTCTTAGAAGGTACTTTTTGCCTTGAGAGTTGTTTTTTCCTGAATTTCTCTCTGAC